AGGCAAGTCACCACACACTCATTTAATAAATGTTTATTAAATAGTAGGAATACAGTGGTGAACAAAACAGGGAAGATGTCTGATGTCATGAACTGTAGATTTGAACTCTGTGGTGTAGTAAATTACATGGTATGGCTTTTCTAGCCATAGTCTTTGTAACTCCCACCAGATTACTGGATGGGACCATGCAATTCAAACTCCTGATTGTTAAAGTCATCCACCTAGGATATGTCTGTTGGAGCACCATGAAGTAATCTTCTGGGAAAGTTAGCTCTCTTTCAGGTGTGTAGAATTCTAATGTGGGATTGGTTGCTTTTGCCATTCTGCCAGGCTCAAAATGAACCCTTCTAGAAGCAGAAAGAATCTCTCACTCCCGCTGAGAGAGTGGCGCTGCTGAGAGACATGCTACTGAAGAGAGGGACTCCTGGCTAAGAGATGGTGGCAGTGAACCAAGAGGCACAAGACAGAGTGGCAGGTTTACCTGCTCCACAGAGGCAGAGGCCAGGCCGAGAGGCCGAGAGGCCGAGAGGCCAAGGGCCAGAGAGTTACGTCTAAGGACACAGCAGAGGATAGACTGTCCTAATAGAAGAACTCTATCCTTAAAGCTTTCCTGAACTTGAATTGTAGCCTGTTGCTTCCCTAATAAACCTGATAATCTGTGAGTTCTGTGTGGCTACTGCAGCAAATTATCAAACCCAGCAGAGAGGTGGTGGGTGTCATGAGAGGGATGGTTGATGTCAAGGTTGGTAAGGGGCTAGAGGGTGGAGGCATGTCTGCCCTCATAAGAATAGGTCTTGGGCTGCTGATGGTAATTCTGTCTTCCTCTTGTGGAGTTTGAGGAGATCAGAAGATGCTGCCTCTGTGCCCCTTTAGCAAGCTCTATTAAATTTACCCAAAATATAGGGAATAGATCCTAATATTCAGGGGTTGAAAAAAGAGTCTGAATTGTAAACTTCTTGACCTCACTTATGAAAGATTACATTATGTCAACATATGAGTTAAAGTAGAAAGTTTTGGCATGTGTAACAGAGGCTCACTAAAAACAAAACAAAACAAAAAAACACTGCCATCCAGCTGATTCTGACTTATAGTAACCCCAAAGGCTAGAGTAGAATTGTCCCATAGGGTTTCCAAGGCTGTACATTTTTACCGAAGCAGACTGCTACATCTTTCTTTTGCAAAGTGGTTGGTGGCTTCAAACCACTGACCTCTGGGTTAGCAGCTGAGCATTTAACCACTGTGCCACAAGAGCCTCACAATAGCTGTTGCATAAAGAACATAGAATATGCTTTCTTATATAATTTCTCAGAGGCAAGTAGTCCAAGACTCCAAAAAAGTGCCCAGGCTTCTTACATCTTGTCTCCACTAATGCTGGTACGTTTCTCTGTCTGCATGGTCCAGGATAGCTCCTCACTAGATCCACATTTCAAGCAGTGTGTTGGAGGAGGTAACATGCCCCTTCTGTTAAGAGACACATAAATAAGAAGTTAAATACTTCACTTCTGCTCATAATCCATTAGGAGGAACTTCACATAGTCACTCCATCTACAAGAGAGGCTGAAAAAATATTTTTATTTTGAGTAGCTTGTATCCATCTAAAATAAGAGAAAAGCAGAGAAAAGATCTTGAGAGTCAGCTAATAGTCTCAGCACATTCCATCCCTTTGGCTACTTAAATATATGGTGAAGTCTGTGAGAGCTGAAACTCAATGGGATTGTGTTGTTTTTCCAGATCTTGCAACTTTTCCCCCTTTAACAAGATGTATTCTTACCACTTTTCTCTCTCTCATTTTAGTGAAAAATATTTGAGTTTTCCTTCTCTGACTGGTTTCCACCTTATACAGGTTTTACAGTATATGTGCATTATTCAACCTTGAAACAGAATACACTCATGCTTTGTCCAAGGAATACAAGGCCAAAGCCCCATCCATTTCCTGCATCTAGATCAAGCTCCAGGAATCACTGGGTAAACTCAGCCCTCTATAGCTGGTACCACCAGTATTATGGTGACCTGTAAACGAAGAGATAAGGAATCTGTCACTGAATACACAATATGAAACATAGGAGTAAGGACAGGATAACCAACATAAAAACACCTATAGGAAAAGGAAACACACAGCTGCCATCAATCCATTAAGAATTATCAAATTGTTTGGGAAAGGAATTTGGACACTCTGCCATTGCTGTCACTGCCTTTGGTCAGGCCATCTCGCAGTTGTGGCTTTAGGTCTCTGGGAGGATT